AGTAAGATCTTAACTCTGAGGGGGAGCAGATTTACGGTTAGGATAGGAATATACCTAATCGACTTGCTTGGTTATTATACGGGAATTATAAATGCGTTCTTGTTAATCCTAATTCCATAGGAATATAGGCGTTATGTTAGCTTGAATAGACGAGTTGTACTTCGGGAAAAGGCTACGAGCAATATTAACCCCGTCAATCAATAAACTAGATAAATTAATTAGACGATTTAAGTGAAAAACTCAACGGGATTGTTAGCTAACCCATAACTCTAGAATATTCACTCACATTGAATTCGTTTCTATAATTTGCCAACTTATTTTCTTTAATCTCTTAGTTTGTTACTTTAGATTAGTTTTAATTAAATATTCATACTTTATGATTCGCTTGAATAGATTAATTGTTTGGTTTAATTTAGTTGATAGTTAATCACAAGTCCCTTTGGGTACGATAGCTGGACTTACAATCCTATATTACTTGTCGACCATGTATACTTGCATGTGCATTTGGGAGCAACAGTTTCTCTCTCCCCCCTTTTGGTTTTTCCAATTTAGAAACACCTCTAGACAACAACTCCCTCCGTTCAATCTTACTTGTCCACTATTCTAAAAATAGATTTTCATTTTTACTTGTCCACTTTCGCATATCAAGAGAAAAATATTTTATTTTTTATGTTTTGCCCTTAGCATTAATTACTCATTCCAAATCAGTTTACAAATCTCGTTAAGATTATATACCAATAAATATGAGTATCATTTTAAATTATACAATTTATTTATTATTTCTTAAAAGGTATGCAAAACCAATAATGGACAAGTAAAGGTGAACGAAGGGAGTAGTAAAGTTACCAGAACTTAATTGATGCAATTTACAATAGCGCATGATTGCGATGATATGTTGAAGGAGGTAATCTTTTCTTTGGAAATTTAATTAGTGAGCAATATTCAATTAGTAGGAATTAGAAGAATGAATAACACACTAAATTTGAGCAGATTGTCACTTTTAGTTTTGCCAGTTAATAAGGTCTCTGCAGAAAAGAAAAGCATAGAAGAATAAACAAGGAAAAGGCAGAGGGAAGACTACTTTTCTCATAAAGTAATTTTAGCCTTTTAATCCTTATTCCTATACTACCCCTTCTTTGATATTTTCAAATTACAGAAGTGAAACGCTAATTCAGTTGGAGTAGGACATCGAAATACTTCCAAAAAGAAACATATATACTACACTTAGCAAATAGAGTAGAGACTAGAGAAGAGTCCGGAACCTTTTTGTTGTATTTTTTGACAAAAGATACGTAAATAAATGTAAAAAAAGGTTACATTTATATATATAACGCCACAATACATCACGCTATACCTTAAAGGTAATTTTTGCCGTTAAGGTATAGCGTGGTGTGTTTTCGCGTTATATGTACTGATATTTACTGACACAACTATAGCGTGCTGTATTTTCTCGCTATATATAGCATACAAATATAGTGCGCTATACCCCTAATTAAATAATCCCCTTCGTCTTCTTCCCCGACAAGAAACAATCCCTCCCCCATTTTTTTTACTTTGAAGCAATTTCTGGTCCCCCCTCCTAGCGTCTTCTTTAAAAAAAAATTGTGGGCCCCACCCGTCACAGAAAACGTTAAGAACGTAAGTCCCACATCATAGTAGAGCATCGTATTGTTATGGTTTCACTTTTTCGCACTCAAATTTTTACACAAAATACTACATCGAGGTGTTTCGATTTATTTTATGTCAAGACTTATATAATAATGCATATTTATTAGTTGATTGAATGTTTTTCCATGTCGTTTTGTGTTTTATTTGCGAAACTAGTATGTTATAATTATCTGGACTTAGATATTAGTGTTCTAAAAAAATGTAAAATTGAGAAATAATTTTTTCTGTTAATATCAGGATTTAGATATTACTGTTTTCATGCCGGTTTGTGTTTTATTTTTGCGAAACTAGTATGTTATATGTATTTTTGTGAATGTTATGTGGTTAAAAGATATTTGTTGTTTATATTTAGTTTAGATTATTTATTAGCGTAGTAAATTGTAGAACCTGTTAGCATAGTAAACTGTAGATTATTTTAGCATAGAATCCATGTAGTTTAAGTATTGCTTATATTGGTAGATGAAAATATATACTTTGTACAATTAAATAATTAAAAATTAAGAATTTAAATTTTTAAAATAAACACACACAAAATTATCAAAATATTGAATTTGACACACATAATTATTCATGATAATTTGATGCTACTGGGCCTCAAATATCGAGCCTGGAACCCAATATGTATATATATACTTTGTACAATTAAATAATTAAAAATTAAGAATTTAAAATTTTAAAACAAACACACACAAAATTATCAAAATATTGAATTTGACACGCATAATTATTAATGATAGGTTGGTGCTACTGGACTTCAAATATCGAGTCTGGAACCCAATAGGTATATATACTTTGTACAATTAAATAATTAAAAATTAAAAATTTAAATTATAAAGCAAATACATACAAAATTATCAAAATATTGAATTTGACACATATAATTATTAATGATATTTTGGTACTACTGGGCCTCAAATATCGAGCCTAGAACCCAATAAGTATATATACTTTGTACAATTAAATAATTAAACATACAATTAATGTTGTTTAATTTACAGTTGACGACATGGACGCGCCTATACATCCTGGCCCTTACTCTCGTGAGATATTAGTGCTACAGGGCGATCATAGGTCCGCCCATATATGGGACGGGGAGTTACTATCCCAGACTCTTCGCGCTAGGAGATTGGACGACCTATGGGATTTTTTGGGGCCCAGAGATCTCCACGAGTGTGTAGTCCAGCGCCTATAGAATACGGAATTTTATAGGATTATTGGGATCGCGCGGATGCAGCTCGACTGAGCTTTGATCACGGCGTTGATTGAGCGGTGGCGACCAGAGACACACACCTTTCACCTGCCCATTGGAGAGGCCACCATCACGCTGCAGGACGTGGAGGTTTTATATGGCTTGCCCGTCGATGGAATGCCCATTTCACTGCCTATTGTTATGAGATCTATGTCGCGCGATGATTATTGGGATATGCTGCAGGAGCTCACGAGTTTCAAGCCACAGGACGAGACATTTTCGTCAGGTGCCAGTCGGCTATCTTTGACCCCTATTAGACAGTACCTGGATGAAATTCTATGATGAACATTTTCATTTAGGTGATGACTACTGGATGGACCACCATGATCCAACACACCAAAACTATGCTTAGGTTCATAATTTGTAAAATTCATATCCGATCGGTACCCTTTGTTAAATATATGAGTGTTTATACAAATTCAATACAACAAAAATGTAGAATTGTAACACAAAGAAAAATTAAAGTTTACCACTCATCTTGTGAATTAGGAAAAACAGACGATGATAAGTTTAAATCAAGGAAAACTCTTTCATCCGGAACCTGTCCGGCAAAAACTGCTCTAGAATAACCACCCGATGACTGGGGGTTATCCAGAACTTGTCCGGCAACCTCATTGTTGGGAACGTCCTTGACCTTGACGTACATATCCAACATTTTGATTACAAGAAATTTTCGGTATTCATCCGGAGTCCTCAGAAAATTCCTCAAAGTTTCATCATCATAGATGTTTAACTCCGAGTAAAAAGCAGCCCCTTGCAAAGTGATGGAATACGGATATCTTCCGGTTACTTTGAGTATCACTCGGTGTTTCCTCACACTCATTTTTTTGCATAACAACGATATCAATTTATCGTACTCCATTGTAAGTGGTAATTTAACATGACCCCGTAGAGATATACTATACCTCACTGAGTTATTCTCCATCACAACCTCACCCCCCAATATAATGAAACTCTTATTCTACGCTCTTCAGACATTATGGAAAAATGCTTGAGAATTTAATAAGAAGAAAAGATTGAATGAGAGTTATAATTTTTTGTGAATGGATTTTCCTAAAATCCTAACTCGTTTATATAGGAAATGTGCGAGCCCGGGGGTTGATACATTCACTTATTGGTGGGCCCATAATAAGGAGTATAACGCGCTGTATTTGTACGCTATATATATCGTGAAAATACAACACACTATACACGTGTCAGTAAACGTCAGTACATATAACACGAAAACACACCACGCTATACCTTAACGGCAAAAGTTACCGTTAAGGTATATCGTGGTGTGTTTTGGCGTTATATATATAAATATAACTTTTTTTATACTTATTTACGTATCTTTTGTCCAAAAAGACAACAAAAAGGTTCCGAACTCTACTAGAGAGAAGGCTTCGCAGTGATAATCATAAGATAATGATGGATATTTATCTTTTTGGGTTGGCCAACATTCTATCTGTTTTTGGGCTACTTTATACTACTGGTAAAAAAAATCCAAGAAAATACTAATTTTATATGTAAAAGTAGTACGGTATAGCCAGTTTTTGGACTGATCATTCAAAAATAGCCACCGTTTACCAAGTCAATGAAAAATAGCCACTATTTTGCTGCAACAGAGACCGTCCAGCATAATATACTGGAGTTCGGTGCACCTGTGTATGAACTCCAGCATATTATGCTGGACCGGTATACTTTGCTGCCTCAAGTATAATATACTGAAGACTGGAGCACTGGTGCTCCAAACTCCAGTATATTATGCTGGACCGGTATACTTGCTGAAACTCCAGTATATTATGCTGGACCGGTATACTTGCTGAAACTCCAGTATATTATGCTGGAGTTCTAGTATACTTATGCTGGAACTCCATCATATTATGCTAGAGTTTCAGCATACTTATCCTGGAACTCCAGTATAATATGCTGGAGTTCAAGTATACTTATGCTGGAACTCCAGCATAATATACTGGCGTATTTTTCGGGTTTTGAACAGTGTTTTCGCTCAGATTTATCTTTACATGAAAAGTGACTAAATTTCGATTACTTTTAAAACTCGACTATTTTTGAATGACCAGTTGTAAATCTAGCTATTTTTGAATTTCTCCAATTTTATATTATAGACAACGAAACCACCATTCAATATGAAACAAGTAGTCCTACAATATGTTTTGAATCTTCTTTTGTTTGCAAGCAGGGGCGGATCTACCATGTAAAACATGGTTCACGTGAACCCGTGGTCCTCGGGTTAAAGTATAGATATGATGTTCATAATTTGGCAAAAATAGATATATATACTTGATGGAACCCATGGTTAAAAGAGACCAAGTGGTGCACTGGTTTTGGTCTCTTATTTCCAATAGCCTAAGGTCAGGGGATCAAATCCCCTATCAACCTTTTGATTTAATTTTTTTAAAAAAAGTAATGGTGAACCCATCCTCTGAAAATCCTGCATCCATCTCTGTTTGCAAGCTTTGAGCTTCTTCAAGATCAAGAAGCACAAATAGGCAGTAAGCAGCTTGAGAAGAAACCCCTAATGCCTTTCTACAAAGAGTTAGGAAAACAACATAAAAAGAAAAAGGTTAGCAAAAGAAAGTCTAAAGGTATCGCATACTAGATAATGTTAAATACGATAAGTAACATATATATTCTTAGGACACTCAAACTTTTTTTTTTTTTTTTTTTAATATTCTTTATAAAATGACAATAATTGCTAGCTCTTTTGGATATCTCATGTGTACTGCAACATGAATGTAAATTTGCGTATAAGAAGAATTACATTTATCTGTATTTCGTATACACACACAAAAAGGAGAAGCTAAAAGACTACAAATTACTAGCGGCAGAATTTACTATTCAAAATTTCAAATGGGGCTAAATTCTATTAGTGAAGGAATTGGCTTCAACTTCCATTCATTAATTAAAACTTTAAAAGTGAAAAGAAGAAAAAGATTCATAGCCTGTTTGGCCAGGCTTTTTTCTTGGTCAAAAGTATTTTTCTTAAAAAAAATTGAGGTATTTGGTCAAGCTTTTTAAAAGAAAACAAGTGCTTTGTGTAGAAGCAAAAAAAAATAGTTTCTTCCTAGAAGCAGTTTTTTGAAAAACACTTTTTAAAAATTTGATCAAACACTAATTGATACTCAAAAACGCTTTTTTAATTAATTAGCCAAATACAAATTAAATTTTACTAAAAATACTTTTTTAAAAATTACTTTCAAAAAAATACTTCTCAAAATAAACAAATTTTAGAAGTTTGGCCAAACAAGCTAAAAAAAAAAGGCGATCATTTTCACTTTGTCGGTCAAATACATAGGGACATGTCCCTTTAACTATGGGACGTGATGGGGGAAAAAGTGAATAAAACGGAATGATAAAACAAATTAAAAAAGTGACTAAGGAGAAGAATGGGGTACCCTTTTAGGCTTAGCGTAGAGCAGTTCAGGGGAAATCTTGTAGAGATCTTCATCTACAGCGCCCCTTTTAGGCGGTGGCGGTGATGGAGTTGCTGCTTCTTTCACATCATACTCATAGTCACACACCACCCACGTGTCCTTTCCTGCTTTTCCAACTGCTTCATTACTTGCTTTCATCTGTTTAACAAAAAAACATGTTTACTGTAACACAAAGGCAATAATATCCCAAAAAAGAATCACAACCCCATGGTCAACAGAGCTAGGTCGTTAAATGCTTCAAATGAACTTATTAATATTCTGTTTGGCCAAGATAGGGAGGTCAAAACGCTTTTTTTTTAATTAAAAAAAGTACTTATTTGGAAATATGAGTTATTATTTGGTCAAAATAGCAAAATTATTTTTTTTGCTTTTGGAAAAGAGCCACAAATTCTAACTTCTTCTAGAAAGAACAAGCAAAAGTAGAAAAATAATATTTTCAAGACAAAATATCTGTACCATATAATTATATTTCCTAAATTATCCAGTATTAATTCAACCTTTACTTTTTTATTTTATTTTATCTCTACCATCTTTTCTTTTCGTTTCTATTTTTATAATATTTTTATTCTTCTTCTCTTATTTTTATTTGGAATAAATTTTCTAATATAAACATATTTTTCCATTCTCTTTTGTTGTTTCTTTTTTTCTTCGTCTCCTATTATTCTTTGAAATAACAAGGTTAATCACTAGATTCAAACACTTTCTTCATAAAGTATAATTTTTTTCTTTTATAATATATTAACATTATACGATCTCCAGATTGTAGTTTATTTGTACTTTTGTTGCATGCATATATATATGATATAATTGACATAATACAATACTACCTAATTTGTTATTTTCTCAAGAATTAGTATTTTTCGTACACGTAACTTGTAAGCATATATGAACCTACCAATATTATTGCTTTTATATACTTATATTTTATATTCAAATTACATAAAAATAAAAAATTAGTTAAATTATTTTATAAATAATTTTTTTTTTAAATAATGTTAATTGTAAACAAACTTTTACTGTCCTTTATAGTATTTTGATATTCAGAAGTACTTTTTAAAAAGATTAGCCAAACACAATTTGCTTATCAAATTTTGCAAAAAAGTAATTCTCAAAAGTACTTTTTTCGGAAAACACTATTAAACAAAAAAGTACTTTTCAAAATAAGTAATTTTTTGGCCGCTTAGTTCTAAATATAGAAAAAATATTGTTGTGCCTGGAATTAAATTGAAAGAGCGTAAATTCTTAAAAGATGAGGAACTTCATCACTAATGAAGAGTACTTGACATGCGTATAAAGTAGCAAAACCAAAATCATTTAATGCTTTCACATGTTCTGCCTCGTTTTCAACTCTCTGATTAACTACACACCAAAAACTGTTCCCTCCTTAAATTACTACACGTCTTAAAATGGAGGTAAAGGACAATAGAGGCTTAACATAATTAATTAATACTCGTAGTAATTACCTTACGACGAGGAAGGACGATCATGCTCGGAGTTACAGTATCATTCTGGTAAAGATCGCCGGCGACGTATAAATCACGGTCTTGAGAGTAGCTGTATCGAAGCAAATCCGCTTGTCTAGCTGATTCAAAGCACTGTGTGAATGGAATTGGGGAATCATCGTTACAGTCCCAGCTACCAAATGCTGGAACATGGCTCCTCCTCATGAAGTAATAATTGCTCCCCTGTTAAGAAAAAAAACACAAATCACAAACAAAATCAACTCATGAAGTTAACCAATAAAGAAACATTAAGCGGAGATGAGAGCTTACTTGCATTTTGGCCTCAGCAAGAATCTTGGAGATTGACCTCACAATGGAGTTCAGAGTTGCAATCTTTTTGTTTGTTTCCTTGCTTTAAATCAACTAGGACTAAGGTTTTGTGGTATTACGGTAGGGTTCTTTTAAAAGGGGCCTAAAATGGGGTTGCTTTGTGGGACGAGTGACTGTTGTTGTTGGGTTTTTATAGGTAAAGGAATGGAGGGTTGAGCAGTGGGGCACTAAATACTTGTAGTTGTTAGTATATTGTATTTGTAAAATAATTCTTGAGAATATAAAATAATGTATAAACAAAAATGAAAAACAAAAATAGAATTTAATCCGAGTCTACTGAATTTCAGTGTTTTCTTAAGGAATTTAATTCTCTCATAGTACTCAAGGTTGTAGATTATTTCCTCCTACTCGTATCCCAATACTATCATTGAGTACCTTACGGATGCGGGGTGGAGCCGAGGGATTTTGACACAAAGGTTGGGGCAAAGAAGCCTTTCTCTTGGTATTCTCTGATGGATCTGAAGAACTCGACAGAAAGGGTCAGCCGACTACTACCGTAAGCCAGTTTGATGAGCCTTCGGTGGTAGCTGCAGAGTCAGCATATATGCCTTCCACTTCAGCAGTGCCTTCTGTAAGTGTAACTGACATGCCTCCAGCTTCAGCATCAGTGCCTTCCACCTCGGCTTTGAAGCCAGTACTTGTGCCCACTCATCCGTTTATATGCGCTACAAGTCTCCCAGACACTGGTGAGTCTCAACAATTGGATGCAGACAATCATTCCAAAGCTATCTGACATATCCGGTACTGTTTTAGCACAGTCATCCACTCTGGCACTCCAGATTCCTCTGACAGTGGAGGATACATTGAAGAAGATATTGGAGAACCAGACCACCATCATGAACACCTTGGTAGAACATGGATCAGTGATTGAGGAGCTTGGGAAGCAGGTAAAGAAGATGAGGAAATCCCAGGAATCCAAGAAATCAGTTGACAGACTGAGGATAGAGGTGACCAGGATAGTAGCAGATGGTGATCTTCCATTTGATATGCTGATGGAAACAGATCCAGTAGCACCAGTAGATCCAGCAGCACCATCAGCTCCAGTGGCACAAGCTGGCCAGTCTGAGGAGCCAGACCTGGCTGCCAACACTACTGAGGCGGTGCGCCAGATGTTCACCAACACAGTTACTCTCAGAGCCAAGGATGATGAGATCCAGTTAGAGGAGACTGAGGGCGGTGGCGCTGCTATGGACACGGAGATGTCCAAGGACACATAGGGAGTCCTCTTCACTCTTACCCTTCTTTATTCTTATTGTTTTTTAAGAATTGGGGACAATGCTTATTTTTATTCTGGAGGGGGGGGGGGGGACGTTTATTTACTATTTGGATGATTTCTAGATATTTGGTTCGTAATAATTGACAATATTCTCTTATTTCTTTTTATCATGTATATATTCTCTTCCCCCCACTCTCTCTCTCTTGATGTATATATTCTATCTTTTCCTCTCTCATTATGTATATTCATTATGCTTTTAGTAGTTTGCTTTATAGCTTCTTTATTTTGTTTTCTTATTAGTCAATGTTTAATTTAGTAGCTTTTTGTTTAATCTAATAGCTTCTTTTTAATCTAGTAACTTCTTTTTATGTTTGAATGAACAACAAGCCTTTGGTTTTCTTAATGCCACGATTCTTTCTAAAGGTAGTATTTTGTATGAATCGGGTAACTCTTACCAATGATGGATGGCGTGATAACCTTATTAAGGGATTGAGTCCGTTTTTGGTGTTTGGGTAAGAATAGTAGTAATAATGAATAAAAAGACCTAATTGAGTCAGGCTCGAAGAGTCAAACATGCTTCACTTGGTACCAACACACTTAACTATGTGTTTATGATTAAAAACAAGTTTTTTGGAAAGAAATAACTCTAGTTAGTGACCTTCTGACTCTTGTGTTGATTTAAGCAATCATCGAGTGGTTTAGTCGAACTACAATGATTTTCAATCTTGAATATAGTCATTGTGGGCCCTCGACTCTATCCTTTTTAACAATCCAGCTGTGTGAGAGGTGAGATGTTTTTGTTTCAAGTCCAAGTACCCGTGTGAATGGTCTAGAACTTGCCCTGAATGTGTTTCGAGGTGAAATTTTAAGTTTTGCTTGGCTTGAGAAGTGATTGTAGACTCTCCTTGACCCGCTTTAAATTTTCCATGGCCCACCAATATTGTTATCCCTAGTCAACCCATTTGAGCTTAAAACCTTTCTCATTTGATAAACATGTTACAAACCTTTGCCTGTTTTGTTGTGACCCTTTCTTAGCACTCGATCTTTTCTTAACACTCTTGTGAAACAATTGACTAAAATCATAAGTTTGAGAGAGAGACGAGGAATTTGAAAAAGATATCAAGGCACAAAAAAAAAAAAAAGAAANATGAAGAGAAGGAAAGGCAAGAAAAAAGAAAGAAAGAACAAAAATAAAAATGCAAAAAGAATGTGAATAAGTTGAAGAGTTAAAGGGATTCAAAGAAAAGTGATGATGCAAAGCATGGAGAAAGAAAAAAAGAGAAAATGAATATCATGACCAAGAATGAGTGATGTTAAGTCTCTCTAGTCCCCCTAAGGAAAAGAAAATGCCTCAAAGAGTTGGCAAAACATGAGCCGATAAGAGAAAATGGAGTACTTACAGAAGGATCAACTCGTTCTATCATAACATATCCAACCTTAGTCCAAAAGCCTTCATTGCATTCTGAAAAAGCCCTATGTGATTTCAACCCAAGTGAGCTTACTTTGTTGATACCCAATTTTTCCCTCATATTTTTTAAGTATATAGATATACTTCTAAAATAGTACATATGTATCATCATTTGATTAATAAACACATACATGCATTTTTCATAATTTTTTATAATTTTTAAAATGGTTTTAAATCAATTTATTCCTACATTTTATTATATAAATACTCATTAATTGCATCACAAACTATTTTTATAATAATTTTATCATCTAGTTTCATCATTTACACCCAGATTAGGTTTTAAATATTTTTAACATATTTATCATAAATACAGTTGTATTTTAAAGGCTAAAATTGCACATTTTGCAATAATAGCCCATATATACTTACAATTACTTTATTTATGCAAAAAATAAATTTTTATATTTTTAAAGTGTTGAATAATTGTTATTAACCATTTTTATGCACAAATGAAATTTTGTTATTTATTTATTATTTTTTTATAAATTATTTATTTAATAAATTGAGTATTTAAAATCTGGCCCCAATTTTTAATTAAATTTCGGACCTAAGCTACCCAAACCAACCCAATTACCCCAGCCCAACCACCTAAATATACTAGCCCAGTCCGCCCAGCTCAAACCAAATAACCCCTAACCCAATATCCGTTTTTACCCGACCTAAAACCCCTCATTCGATCCAAGCCGTTGATCTCTCAAGATCAACAACCCCTATTCAATACCCCCCTCTTAATTTAACTCCCTTAATCCTAATCCCCCATTATCTCCAAAATGCCGCCCTTAAACTCCTTCCTCTCCCCTAAAACCCGAGGTGCCATCACCTTAATCCCTCCCTAATCCTTCTTCGATTCCAACCGGATATTGAATCCCTTGATGATTTTATTACCTTATTGGTCTTATCTTGCTACTGGCTACTCGATTATGGTATAACCTAGTAGCTTGCCTAATATGGCAAGCTGATTTTCCCATTTTCGAACCAAATCTAATTCGAACTCTCTTTCCTTTCTCATCTATGTTCATTCTTCACAGCTTTGGGTACGAATCTCTGAGATTCTTTTGATTTTGTGTTTACCCTAAAAATAGGATTTAGATCTTTTAAGATCTGCTTAAATTTTTCTTACTTTTACTTATTAAAAATCTCCTTTATGTTTCCGCATGTCTATTTTCTCTGCTATTTTTTTCATTAAAAGTTTTTGCCTAATTTATTTGCCTTAAAATTAGGGCTCAGATCTTTAAGATCTGTTCTAGTTCTATTTATGGTCGAATCTCTTCTTAAATGTTCCGTTTACTTGTGATTTTCATACTGGTTTTATTTGCCCTAAAATTAGGGCTCAGATCTTTTAAGATTTGTCCTGGTTCTATTTTATTGAGTATCTCATTTAATGTTCCCTTATATCCGTCTATATGCATTCTATTGTGATTTTTGTGAATTTGCTGGCCAGTTTATTTGCCCTAAAATTAGGGATCAGATGTGTTATGATTATTATTTTGTTAACGCGTTTTCTTTAATATTTTCCTATAATTGTCTGTATGCATGTTATTTTCTTTTGATTATTCTGAGTGATTTTACTTACCCTAAAAATTAGGGTTCCGATTCTTATTTCATTTTTTCTTACTGATTCTATCTATTTGCTCTTGCCTTAATTATTACCTGAGAATCTTTGATTCCCAGAATTGTTTGATTACTGTTATACGCGTCTATGTACTATTATTTTTGACCTGCCTTAATAATGTGTTGAATTTTTCCTTAAATAAGTTGATTGATTATTTCTATGTTTGTGTACCCTAGTCTAAGGCAATTTAAACCCCTTCCCTCTTCCCCTTAGAACAAGACTAAGAACTCGAACTACTTTCACTACTAAACTCTATACTTTATACTACTATATTCTGTATTGATTCCTGGCCGGCTGGAAGCCAAGGCCACACAACTATATTGTTGTTTGCTGCTATTGATGGTCATTGCCTCATTGCTTAACCTTTTCCTATTTCATTCGAACTAGTAAGTCACTGAGACTCCTCTCCATCTCAATTTCTCAATATGCTATTGTACTAGATTCATTGCTCTATGTGTGTTAGGCTTGTCTTAACTTAGTGATGAAACCTGTTTGATTTTGTGCACTCAATGCTGTCCTTAAGTATGTTTACTATCATTCCCTAAAACCAGTCTATCATGTACCCCTTAATCTATTCTGTTAGCATATTATTCTGTGCTTACTATGCTATTAGTTCTTACTAATCACCAACATGCTTTTTTCTTAATCTGAATTCTTTACTGTCCTTGTGAAGTATGTTTTGATCCCTTGTTAATGTTTCAAACTTGTTAGTTTCAAAGTGTTTGTCTCTATTTCTATGTGTGACTCTATCCCTAAGTATGATTCCTAATCCTGTCCTGCACTCTTCTGAACCCTAATCCTTGCTAATCTGAGT